TATATATATTTTAATTATTCTCATTCAAAAATTGTTTCATCTGCAATTCATCAATGGCACTGGCAACGGTGCCAGGAAAAGCATTCTAAAACGGTACACGTGAGCTACAATAGTCCTGCACTAAAGACGCAAATGTGCATTCGATGCCTCTGCGTCAGGTCTCTATTAAGGTAGTGATTGCACATAAACACTTGTATCTTCTCGATGTTTCTGTTTTGTTCATGTTAGGGGCCGTTATGGCTGTAGCACATCATGGCATGCGTGTGAATGTGTCTGCATGCATGTGTGGTAATGAGTCAATAACAGGAGGTTGGTTGCTTGAAAAATAGATTTTCGGTCAAAAAAAGTTGGCCACCCCTGCTACAGTGGTTACATACTGTATGTCAATAGGCTTCTTCTTTGCATTGCGGCAGTTGAGCGCAACACTGCCACATGATAGCTGTGGCACCATACATACCAGACTCCAGTGTGCACTTTAAGTTGCTTTTCTGCTCATAGGAGCAATTAAATATATGCCACACATTCATTAAAATGTACCAGAGACTGCTAAACGTCAGCATGTGCAGTGCATGTGTGATAAAAAAATGTTTATTGGTGATAGAAAGACAAGCAACAATGTGTCTTGTGTGACTGCACAAGCTGATTGCCTGAGTTGAAAATCCTGTGTAAAATCCTGCATAGAAAATAGGCACATCCAGCTCTTGTAATGGGAAAATAACTGATGATTGTTTAATTGAAAAAGAAAATCAATGGACAGTACGAATGCTAGAAATAAAATGTAACATAATTTAATATAATCATTTTAAGTGGGGGTGTCTCCCCCCCCCCCCTTTTTTGGAATTCTTCACATTCAGAGGATGTCCAGCGTATGGTGCAAGTGAGGCTCTGCCTCACTTGGTGCCCCTAAATGCACATCATTGTAACCGTCGGAAGAACTGAGCAGTTTTCTAAAAAGCATACTTGATTGGACATCGTGATTGCTTTGTCCACCTTGATGTGCTCTCAGCAAACACAACATATAAAGGGACTTGGAGTGGATAGAAAAAGGCTGCACACCCTTGTCCAAATAACAGGTTTTTGTGATTTAAAAAAAATTGAGACCAAGATACCTGCGATTGGCTGGGATAGGCTGCAGCACGCCCGTGACCCTTGTGATGATCAGTGGATTCGAAAATGGATGGATGGAGACCAAGTGATGGAATAAATGTAATTCCGTTATCCCATATTTACTCTCTGTGTAACTTTAAAACCTGTTTCAGAGTGATACCTCACAAATACCTCATATACAATGGGGTAGGTTGATAATGGTAGACTTGTCGGACCGGGAGAGCTCAGGCTGCTCCTGTTCTAGCGTTTAAGATAATATCCTTTGGTTAAGTTAACGGCTTCTGATGAAATTAACTGTTGCTTGTGAGAAGATAACAGCAACCCAGGACACCATGAGAAGGACATCCCAAGCTGTGTTTGTGGACCATCGACATCCAGTAGGAGCCGTTTGACAACATCTCAGGAATAAACTGTGTGTTCTCATTGAAACTCTCCTTTACTGAAACTGTTGTGGAATGTGGAAATACTCCCCCACCCGTTAGAAGATCAGGTATCAGGGACATCCTTCCAATAAATGCAAGGAGACAAACGCGGTCTCTTCAGAGTTGCCCCGGAACCTGTAACAGTTTACATGGCAGAGCAGCTGGAGAGCTGCTCTGAGATTGTGAATCGAGACATGTTTTAGCGCGCTCTCTCTTGCAAGAAAGACAACCATGCCTGCCTCCTGAGTCTTCCTGTTCCTGATGTGTTCTTAGCATCAGATTACCAGCATTAACCTAATACCAAGATACCTTAAGACATCTGGGATAGGCTCCAGCATACCATGACCCAAGTGAGGATAAGCGGTTCCAAGAATAAATGAGCCCAGCATAAAATCGTATGGAAACTTATGCCAGCATTAATGTGACCTATTGCCTTTAGAACTCAGCTAAAGAAAAAGGAAATCTTTTGGAGAAAGAAGGTTAAAATAAACAACTGAGGTAATGGGGTTGCATTTGCACAGCCTCTTATAGCTGGATGTGGCTGTTTTCAATGAACGAGGAACATTCAAATGCATGTTAACTGGGCTGTCTGTGTGGATCAGTGGGTTGCACCACTGACTTCGGACACCGAGGTTCTGGGAGCAAGTCCTGTGCTTTTGGGCTCCACGGTAGGTGACTGGTTAGCACGCCCGCCTCATTGTGCAGAGGTCACGGGTTCAATTCTGGCCCCAGATCTTCCTGTGTGTAGTTTGCACTTCTTGGTGCATGAAAAGGTATAGAAAGTGAGTTGGCTGGCTGCCCGGAGTTTTTGCTCAGAGATCAATGCTCTGAGCTCCCAAACTGACATTATGGTTCGATCCCAAGTTGGGAGGTCACCGCGATAGTAAAAATGTCACAGATGTCCACGGAGTTGATCAGTTTGTGTGACCTCTCCACGAGGAGCATCCTGCTTTTGATTGGCGAGCTGGGGAGGATAAGAGCACTGAGAAAAAGAGCTGTGATGAGCACACGATCATTGTCTGAAATCACAGTTTTGATCAGAATACGACAAATTGTTGAGCCATTGTTAGGACTGCCAAGAATATAATTGGTATCTGCTCTAGAGGACCTAATGCTGCAAGAAGTAAGACAGGTCTTAGTTTATAGAGTGGGTCGTCCAGCGACAGAATGACTGAAATCACAGCTCCAAATGTGGGCTGTCAAAGTGCCCTTGGGCAAGACTGCTTGGATCAGTTCAGAGTGCAGACCGCCTTCTGCCCAAAGTCATCTGGGATAGGCTCCAGCCCCTCCCTGTGAGCTTGTTCAGGATAAGGGGTGTTGATCATGGAGGGGTGGATGGAAATATGCCTCACAAACCGGTTTGTCCTCTTTGCAAAGCCACAAATTAGCCTTCATGACATACACCACCCAGCCCCTTGTTGCTTGGTGGATTAAAAAAATTAAATAAAATGAAAAAATAACTAAAAAAAAAACTAAAAAAAGACTGAAATGAAAGTGTATCTAGCTGTCTGAAGATATATTAGGACTCCAAGTACAAAGCCCCTATTGTGTGCTCAATTATTTTCAAAGTGACTCAATTAAATGATGAATTACAGCTTGGTAACAAGAAGAAAAACATTGGTCGGCAAAACCCACCAAACAGAAACCACATCCTGTAATTGTGTGACAACAAAAGAAAGTAAATTAAATGACCCACCCAAATGCACAAGGGCCCCACCTTTATGATGCCGGACAAGTGATTTAAGTCCTCTGTTCTCGACTGTGAAACGACAGAAGAGCGACGGAAGCAAGACTGACAACAACGCAAGCCTGAGAGGGTCCCTAAGAGCAAACTTGAGTGTGCGTGGTGAGTACTATCGCCATCTTGAAGTGTTTTTAGGGAACACAACTTTAATGTTGGACATATTTGGGGTTGTTCTTTGAACAATCAAGGGGGAAATATGCAATTTGACTCAGGTTACATTGGACCACACACTTCCAAACTAGACGTATGACATAAGCGCCATTTTAAATCTGGACAAAACATGCTTGTACGTGCAAAATACATGCTCACAATGTATCTAATTTTTCATAATAAATTTCTCAATGCTGTTATAAAAGATCCATCCTTCAACAGGAAAGGTTATGAACAATCAAAAATTAACAATACACTGTGATTTTTTTTTTTTTTATTCCAGTGGAAAGGGCTCTTGTGCATAAAAATTACCCTTGAAGGATGGCACAAAATGACTGAACAGGAAACCAACATTAGGTTCAGAAATCACTTTTTATTTTTTCACAATTAACTCACAACAACTCAAAGTGGTAACATTATTGAAGGTTTTTTTTTATTTTTGAAAATTAATCAAGGGGCCACCCAAATAATGTGCCACCTGGGCAGACTCTGTCTGACCATGTACTTTGAAGTGCATGTTTGGTGCTGGCACGATGTTCGTCAATGGCAGCATAGTACATGAGCAATTACCGAGTCAACAAAAAATGTCATTTCCTGAAAAAGAGTGGTTTCAGTAAAGAAGAGAAACACATCCAATGGCGACATTTAGATGGGCATGGAGTTATCAGCCTTCTTCTCAAGGGCAGTCCACATACGTTGCAGCAAGGCATCGAACCTGGGTCTCAACAATGAATACTTACACTGTCCAAGGAGCCAGCTCTCCCATCATGTTCATCCGACTGGACTTTCTTTCGATTTACCGTCCTTTTTCACTGTCTTTTAGGACATCATCAGCCACAATGAGCATTCTCAAAGTGTTCACTGTTGCCCTTGTGCTGTTTGGTAAGTCATCAGACTAATTTACGAAGTAACAGAGTAAGTGAAAAGTCACCATGTAACAAAGATGTCAACTCTTTATCACAGGAACCAGCTGTCTTTCTGCTAAGATAAAGAGACAACTGCCAGCCGATACAGAAGTTACACCAGATGACGATGTCCAAGTTCAGTCACTTCCATTACCAGCTAGGTCACCACCTGGTCCACCTGGTGGACCACCGGGTGGACCACCTGGTGGACCACCTGGATCACCTCCAGGAACACCTGGGCCACCACCTGGGTTTCCATTCTTTATACCAGGGCCACCAGGTCCCCCTGGTCCACCTGGTCCACCAGGACCAACCGGACCACATGGTCCACCAGGGCAAGATGGTCCACCAGGACCACCTGGACCAGGTGGTCCACCAGGGCTAGATGGTCCACCAGGACCACCTGGACCAGATGGTCGACCAGGGTCAAAGGGGCCACCAGGGCCAAATGGCCCACCAGGACCACCAGGCCCACCTGGACAAGATGGGCCACCAGGACCACCTGGACCTGATGGGCCACCAGGCCCATCTGGACCACCTGGACCAGCAGGCCCATCTGGACCACCTGGACCACCAGGTCCACCTAGTGCACCAGGACCACCCGGACCACCAGGTCCTCCCGGGCCACCACAACATTACCCACATTGGCCTTTTGGGCAACGACCCCCTTGGCCACCAGCACCTTGGCCACCTAGGCCACCAGCACCTTGGCCACCTGGACCACCACCATATTAGCCAACACCATCTTAGCCACCTGGGCCACCACCACGTTCACCGCCTGGGCCACTGCCACCAACACCTGATCCAAAATTGCATGATCCATCATCTTAACAACCTGGATCACCAGGGGGCCACCTGTTACCATGGATGAAATGCCAGCCTTGCCAGGCTATTCCATCACTAGGACCACATTTTATTTCGTATTATAATTAGCCACCCGGCAAATAGCAGCCACCAGTGCGGCCACCTGTTATCCTGGATAAAAAATACCCACCTGAACACTAAATTGTCAACTTGCCACACAATTCTTCCTACCTGGACCAGCACCCTGCAACCTGGAACACCGCCCGGATGCAAAAAAATATTCTGGAACATGACCTTTCAAGCTTGGACTACCACCTTGGTCCACACCAATACCTACCTAACCAACCCCAGTTAGTCCGGATGAAAACGACCCACCTAAACAACCACCTTGCTCATTCAGACAACCTGTTTCTGGTTAGAGACACAGCCACCTGGATCACCAACATCCAGTCCACCACCTGGGCTACCTGGACATGTCAAGCCTTGACCATAGAAAGGGAGTTGTTTTATTCCAAAAGTAATCTTGTCTTTAAGCATTTAGCCCTAATCGTAATGATCGTGTGGTCATTGATGCGAAATTGCAAGATACATCCCCCCAAGCCCCCGCCTTTGCCACCTGCGTTTGATTCAAATAATAAAGATGATTTTTCTTCTGCACAACTTAGTTGCTTGAATGTGACCTCAACTCAGACATTCTGTCCTTCATTTTCACAGACATGATCATGCTTGGTGGGTATGGCATCCAATTGCAACCGCCTCCTGCCCTATAAATAATCATCATTGATATGTTCATCTTCCACTGACAGAACTCAACTCAACTCAACTTTATTTATCAAGCATTTTAAATCAGAATCAGAAACATCTTTATTGGCCAAGTATGTAAAACACACAAGGAATTTGTGCATGAGCTATCCTAGTATTGCAATAATAAATGACTACAATAAGCAAAGACATGACATTCAAGTATAAAAAGTCTTTTGGTAATGAAAGGGTACAATTGTTCACGAGTACCACCCAATGATAGCTCTGCAACAATTTGCAGAGTTATCGAGCAGAGATAAAGTGATCAGTGGTGCAATACAATGCTATGACGGTTGTGCAGTTGGTGCAGATAATCATTGCACCATTTATTAAGTGACTAGCGGCAGTAATTGTCATACAACTTTAGGTTTGCAATTATGCAGAAAGTCTTTGAGCACTTTAAAGTGTCTAGCGCTGTGGAATATTGTAAAATAATTGTTACCTACAAAGTGCTTAACATGCAGTAAACAATAAATTAATACAAATACAGAAGACACCATCAAAAATTAAGATGGCCATGTTCAGCTCAAGTCCTCGAAAGCCACTGTCCTGCCTTTTTTCCATCGCCCCCTGCTGCAACACACCTGATTCAAATAATCAGGTCATCAACAAGCTCTGAAAAAACTTGAAAACCAATTTTGATCATTTGAATCAGGTGTGTTGCAGCAGGGAGAGAATGAAAACAGGCAGGGCAGCAGCCCTTGAGGACCAAATTTTTGGCACCTCTGCACTAAGACAATTCCGAGTCTCATGTTGAGCTGAAAGCCATTGGATTAAATTGTGTTTTAGGACATGTTTTGAAAATGGACGGAGGGGAGGTTTACCTCACATTTAACATAAGGTCATTGCAAAGGGAGGAACCGGTAACAGAAAAGGCTCGATCTCCTCTGAGCTGTCACTTAGTCCTCAGTACCTCTACCTGCGTCTAGTATGCTGACCTGAGCAGGTCCGTATGGGTAAAGAAGTTTAGAGGTAAGGTGGGTTAAGAGCAATTAAATATTTGAATAAAATCGTCCATCCATCCATTTTCTGATCCGCATATCCTCACATGGGTCGCGGGCCCATCCCAGCTGTCTTTGGGCAAAAGGTGGGTACACCCTGAACTGGTTGCCAGCCAATCGCAGGGCACACATAGACAAACAACCATCCGCGCTCACACTCACACCGAGGGACAATTTAGAGTGTTCTATTAACCTGCGACGCATGCTTTTGTAATGTGGGAGGAAACCGGAGTACCCGGAGAAATCCCACGTAGGCACGGGGAGAACATGCAAACGTCATACAGGAAGGCCGCAGCCGGAATCGAACCCCACACCTCTGCACTGTGAGGCCAACACGCTAACCAGTCGACCACGGGGCCTCGAAAAAAAATCAGAAGATAGACAGACAGACAGACAGACAGATAGATAGATAGATAGATAGATAGATAGATAGATAGATAGATAGATAGATAGATAGATAGATAGATAGATAGATAGATAGATCGGTAGATAGATAGATAGATAGATAGATAGATAGATAGATAGATAGATAGATAGATAGATAGATAGATAGATAGATAGATCGGCACTAGAAGTGGAATAAAGACCCAACACTCAAACGTCTTTTCTTTGTATTCTAACATGACAACTGAGAACAAATCGATTCAGGACTCTTTTCTTTTAGATATCCATGAGAGTTTGTCAGGACACTGACAAAATAAGAATATATAGAGGCAACTTGCAAAAGAGGCGGGCAGTCACGCCCCATATAAAACTCTTACAAATCCCTCTCTCAAAATCAATATTGTGATCACAAAATCATGTCAGTGTGGCTCTCCTGCCAAAAGCGGAACAACTGATCTATCTTTCGCCTCATGCATCGGAGAAAACATGAGCATTTGGCACTTGTAATTGAGTATCAAAATGACCAGCGCAGAGAAATACATGTTTTTGGTCCTGGATCGTAGGATTGCTTTTTTCTGCTTCCACGTCCAGTCACTCTAACGAATGCCGCTTTGAAGTTGGAAATGCTCTCAGGGCTGTTGCATACTGTGACACATGGAACCAAGTCGATCCCTTTCTGTCACCTTGTATGGTCCCATCCATGGTGCCATTTCCGCTTTCGGACCCTCAGACAGACCTGGTCAGGGTACGTATGTGGTTCCATGCTTGATTCATTCGGGTGTTGACACTGCGGTTTAACCCAGTCAGCAAAGGCATCTGGCCCGGATTCGGCATGAAGCCGGCACAGCTGGCCTTGTGTCGGCAATGGCATAACGCATGTGGGCCGAACACGGCCCAGGCGTGGCAAAGGAGGCACTGGCTTGACTCTGGCAAACCAGATGAGGGCCAGTTGTGGCGTGAAGTATTTGGGCCAGAAATCAATTTCCAACTCCGGCCCGAATATGGCCAGCCAGAATTGAGCCACTCCTAAATACACTTTCCGATT